GGCGTAGAAGGCGCTAAGTATGTATTTCTTTTTTTTTAAGATTTTATTTATTTACTTGAGAGAGAGAGTGTGAGAGAGAGTGCATGAGAGGGGGTAGGGTCAGAGGGAGAAGCAGACTCCCCACGGAGCAGGGAGTCCGATATGGGACTTGATCCTGGGACTCTAGGGTCATGACCGCTAAGTATGTATTTCTTGAATAAGAGAATCTAGGAACAAATGAAGGAGTGTAAGTGACCACATTCTGGTTAGAGAGGGGTGAGAAAGCCCAGACAACATTGAGATGATGCTGTGGGTTGGACATGGGATTTAGAAATAAAGGCCATGTATGCTGGCTGGTCTCAGGTCTTCCCCCTAGGTGAGAGGCTGGGCTGGTCAGTTCAGATATAGATAACTCTATAGAGATGTGAAAGGTATTTGAAGGCAATAAAAGCTGACTCGCAGACCTTGGTAAGATCTCGATCCAACCTTAGGTTCCCGTGATTGAAATTCCCATAGCCGCCTCCCCTGAATTGCATTCAACTTTCCTAAATGAGATTTTATGGGAACTGATTGTGATTAGATAAATGGGTGACTCCACTAATGTATAATACAATTTTCCATTACAGCGTATGTACAATAATTTACATTTCTTGTTTCGTGGTGTGATATTTATGTGACATATTCTGGATGAGACCCGGCTGGTGTTTACATAATGATCTTGCTTTTTCTCTTAGAGAAGATCTGGCTTTCAATTTTCTTTTTGTGCTGCAAGGTGTTGTCTTTCCAAGATAAACATTGTATATTATAGGATGTGCAGGTGAGAAACATCAATAAAGTAATAATCTAGATGGGTTTTAATAATTCTTACTTATGCCACTGGATTAGGTAATAGAATGGTTCACCTTTCATAAAAGGTTGGAATAAAAACATCCCTAAAATTACAGTAAATTTTCTGTGATCTGCTTACTGTCATCAGTTCCGTGGCCAAGTGCCACTGTGTAGCAAATATGAATGTTTCGTCCAATATGCTTGACCATTAATAACATAATATTCATTGCCAGAACACTGTCCCAAAGTTGAAACAGTATCAAGGGAAAATATCTTTCTTTCTGACCTTTAAGTCTGCATGAAACCAATGCTTTTATGCATTGAGCCCTAAATATTATTCTTCCCCTCCTAGTTAGACCTGATTGACAGACAAGGGATAAAATTAAGTCCCAAATGCTTCTCAGATAGAAAACTCTTCTTTTTTTTTTAAGGTTTTATTTATTTACTTTTACGAAATAGAGCAAGCGAGAGAAAGAGATAGAGAGCACGAGCAGGGGGGAGAGGCAGAAGAAGAGGGAGAAGCAGGCTCCCCGCTGAGCAGGGAGCCCGATGCAGGGCTCGATCCCAGGACCCCAAGATCATGACCTGAGCCGAAGGCAGCCGCTTAACCAACCGAGCCACCCAGGCGCCCCTGAAATCTCTTCTTAACATAGGGAAGGACAGCACAAAGGAGAGACGTGAAATGAGCCCAATTTCGGGTTCAAGCTCCCAGCAAGTACCAGGATATATAGTCTTGAACCCAGGGGGCCACATCTGGGGACAAAGAGAAGGCCTACTAGGTACTTGCTCCCCTCCACCCTGCTTCAGCCGGAGCAGCTCTCCTTCTACCCGTGTTATGTATTGGTGCTCCCAGTAAAAACTCATTCAAAAAGGAGAACTGGCTCTTTTTAAAACTTAATTGTGAAAAGAACAAAGACACTTAATAGTTAAAAGGGCGCTGTTCTAGAAGTCAGCTCTCTGAGCCCTATTTCCTAATTGACAAAATGAAGAGTTTGTATGTAACAGTTTCTCACATTCCCCTATTCCACAGTATGTACTGTTTTATATTCCAAGCCAAAATGCTAGTGTAGATGTGGCTATTATTTGGTATAACAATCTAATTATGCCATGTTATCAAACAGCATGCTTGCCTCCCTTTTAACATAACAAGGGAAGTAAAACATCCAGGTGTGGAACTGGCAATATATCAACAGTGTTGGTCTCAGATATAAAATGCTCACTTTAACATGGGTCACTGGGAAGTAGTCAGATAGCCCTCACAGATTCTAGACTACAGGGTAAAATACTGTACATTCCTCAAGACTTGTTCACATTCAGATGAGCCCAACGCTAGATTAAGTTGCAAATAGACCTATAATTTTAGTGTAATTAAAAAATCTTTATAATTTTGGGTAGTGGTTTTTTAGTCATAACTTACTCTAGAATTAAGCAATTTGTTGAGTTTCTCCTCCTCTCTGTCAAAAGAAAAAAAACTAAATGAATACGGTAAAACATAAAAATCAAATATTATGCAGCCATTAAAATGATATGAATGCATGTTTTTGGCATGAGAAAATGTCCAAAATATATCAAGTAAAAAAGGCAAATAACAAAGCATGTATATAATATTATTTCATTGTGGGAAAAAAATCACATGCATTCATGTACCCATAGGAAAAAGTTTTGAAGGATGGCCATAGTTATCTCTGGACAGCAGGATTGTAAGTCATCATTACCTTCTTCTTTATTATCTTCTTGTGTTCTGAAATTTTTTTTTAATATTGAAATGGGGGGAAGCAAATTTGGAAAAAGAAAACCTCACTGATTTCTTACCATGTGTTATTCAGAAAATGTACAAATGACAGCTCCTTAGAAATATGGGTAATCAAGAGCCAGATAATAAATATTTTAGTCCTGTGGGCCATGCATAGATTTTGTAACAATTTTGTCACACTACACAAAGCATCCATAGACAACAGGTAAATGAATGCATGTCCGTGTCCCAGTAAAACTTCACCGGCTCTTGGTTTGGGCCCAGGTCATGATCTCAGCGTCCTCAGCGTGGAGTGGGCTTGAAATTCTCTTTCCCTCTCCTTCTCCCCCTCCACCCCACTCATGCTCATGTGTGCCCTCACTCTCTTTCTCTCTCCCAAATAAATAAATCTTAAAAAAAAAAAAAAAAAAGGAAAAGAAAAAAACTTGACAGAGACAGGAGGCAGGCCGCGAGTCATAATGTGCCCCCTCCTTCTGGAAGGGCTGGTGAAGTAGACAGGGGTTTAAACCCTCACTCCCCTGCCTAGGACTGTATAACCGTGCAAGACTTGCTTTCCTTGTATGGAAAAAGGGAAGAACAATGCTTCCCTTGAAGATTTGTGTGAGAAAGTGCATCTCAACAAAATAGTGCACACGGTTAAGTGGTTGTTTCCTGCCTTCTTTCTTTTTATAGCACAACTGGGGAAAAAATTATGTTAAAGTAAGATTTTTTAGTAAGCTAATTCTAACACGAACATTTATCCACAACAAAACTATTTTATAGAGGGACACCTGAGTGGCACAGTTGGCTAAGCATCTGACTCTTGGTTTCAGTTCAGGTCATGATCTCAGTGTCTTGAGATCAAGAGCCATGTCAGACTCCACGTTGGGCATCAAGTCTGCTTGAGATTCTCTGCCCCTCCCCCACTGCTCTAAAAAAAAGAAAATTATTTTATAGCTAAAAGCAGAATTTGTAGGGCAAGCTATGAAATAGGTTAAAGAGAGGCAAAATGACCTGGTTGGAGGCCTTCAGTTTCCACTTCACTGCTCCAAGGTGGCAGGGACTACAGAATGCTTTGAGCAGGCACCCTACCTTTAATTTAAAACAAACACAATATATCTAATAAGGTTCATGTTGAATATACCCTAAGATAAGAGTCACTCAGAACTAGAGGCACTGAACACTGACTCTGGTACTTTCACATGGGTTGACTCACACACCCCGTCTGCAAAAAATATGTAATGGGCATTGTCATGGATTCATGCTAACAATCATTGAGACCCCTTAGCTTCTTCTTTTCTTTCCTTGATGTTCATAATGACGTCTGTTGTCCTGCACCTCATTCCTAGCAATAGAAAGTGGGAGGGACATTTTACACATGATCAGAATATATCAACCCCTCATTTATTTACCTTCCAAAGTAGTTCTTACTTGTGAGTTCAAAACTCTTTAACCACCCACAGTACTTCATTAATTTCCATCTCCATGTCCAAGAAACATGTCTTTTTTATTTTATTTTATTTTATTTATTTGAGAGAGAGAAGCACCAGTGCGGGGGATGGGCAGAGAGAGCGAAGCAGACTCCCCACTGAGCAGGGAGCCCCGATGCGGGACTTGATCCCAGGACGCTGGGATCATGACCTGAGCCGAAGGCAGACGCTTAACCGACTGAACTACCCAGGCGCCCCAAGGAACATGTCTTCTAGTAATTTTTTTTTAGTTTGGCTACTCAGGGTCTCTGCAGATTGAAGATAGTTGATTAGATTCAGAGACTCAAGAAAAAAAAGAAAAGCCTTAGTGGTACTTTACATTCTTGTGACCCTTTGGGGGCCAAAATCATGTTTCATGAAGGCCAGAGAAATAAACATATGGAACTGAAAAGAAATCACCCTTAAGAAATGGATTCTAGGAGTGTTTTCTCTCTCTCTCTCTCTCTCAAGTAAGTAAATAAAATCTTATAAAAGAAAAACTGGATTCTATTCACAGTAGGGTGGTCATGATTAGCAATTTTCCCCCAGAAAAACCTTTAAAACATGAGAAAAATGAGTTGTTGATACCAAAACACATATGGCACACAACGTAACACAGTGGTGGCTGGTTAGCCGTCTGAAAGAGAAGCCCACCATGATTCTGGTGCTTAGTGATGAAACAAGTGACCCCCAGAATCATACTGGTGCTTGTTTAATCACAAACCTCACATGGAGCTGTGGGGAAGGAGGAACTTCTACAGCGCTTGTCTCTGAGCTTCCCTTTCCCTAAGACAAAGAGAAGGAATTAGAGGTCATGATTCATATAGGCATCAGGGACGGCTCTCGTGGTCTGTATTTAGCTACATTGCTTAAATATAATATTCAAATCCAACCAAAATACAGTCATTTGTGCTTATTTCTGTTCATTTTCAGAGAAATAAAGTCCGTAATAGGCAGCTAGCCCTCTTCAAATGAGAAGTGCTTGCAGGAGCATGACGTCCTGCGGTCTGTACGGCCTCGCAAGGGGTGGGGGAGACAACGGCTGGAATCCAGCACCAGCTCCTCATTACCGAGAAGGAGTTGTGAGAGCTGGCTCCGGCTGTGGAAGCTTGCGCAAATTCATGGGATCCCGGAGAAAGACGTCACTAGAAAACCTAGGTTTCTGCAGGAAATCAAAACCCAGGATGGGAATAGTTCAAGATGACAGGTGGGGCTGCAATAAAAGGCAATACTATATGGCGATCTGCCATACAATCGTTACCGGATGTTTGGGGAACCAGATGATCTCTAGAAATTTATGCTCTAGCGCGACATCTATTGTAATGATACGTAACAATGTCAACGAGAGGATGGAGGTGATAGAGAATAACTCATTGAGGGGGAAGGACAGGCAAAGAGGAATGGTCACGGAGGACTTTTTAAAGGAGGAAACATTTGAACTAGGCTTTGACAGCCTTCACCGACTAGACAAAGAGAAAAGAGTATTTCCTGTAGAAGGACCAGCATGGGCGACGTTTGGAGGCACAGAACCTGCCAGATTGGGGGGAAGAGCAAATAATGTTGTGTATCTGGAATGTAGGGCTGACTGGAGATAAGATTCAGGAACTGGAGTAGTAGCGGTCTCTGTACTTGGCCAAGGAGTTCAGATGCAATCCAGGAGGCAGTGAGGTTGACTGAAACTCACTTGTAGTTTTGTTTTTTTTTTTTTTAAAGATTTTATTTATTTATTTGAGAGAAAGAGAGCACATGAGAGGGGGGAGGGTCAGAGGGAGAAGCAGACTCCCCGCTGAGCAGGGAGCCCGATGCGGGACTCAATCCTGGGACTCCAGGATCATGACCTGAGCCGAAAGCAGTCGCCCAACCAACTGAGCCACCCAGGCGCCCCTCACTTGTAGTTTTAAAAGATAACTTCACACCTGTAGCATCAGGAGGTGGACTTCACTGCATGCAGGCTTTGAGGGAATTGGAGAAGACTAAGGCAAACCTATTTTTCTTGTTTTTTTTTTTTTCAATAAATAAATTGTACTAAATACTGTTTGAAGTATTTTTGCACACATCAACTCATTTAGTCCTCGCAACAACCCTCTGAGGTAGATACTAATATTCCCCTTGTTTTATGGAGAACTGAGGCATGGAGAGGTTAAGTAACCTCTCTGAGGTCACACAGCAAATAAGTGGTGGAGGCAAAATAAAAGCCCAGCAAGAAGGCTGGCCTCAGTGTTTGTGCTCAAAACCAGGCCACTAGGTTACCTGTCTTGGGCACTGGGCCAAGTGTGCTGCTCATGGTAAGTTGTCAGCGGATGTTGGCACTGACCTAGCCTCCCGCTGCTCTTCCCTCTCTCAGTAGTGGACTGCCTTTTTAGTATCATCCCGTCATCTCTCTACCTCGAAGCACCTGCTGGAGGTCATGGAGGAGAACAAGGAGCACCGACTTTTCATTTATTCTCTTTCGTGGGTATTCGCCTACCATTTACACTCTGTGAAATGGTCTCAACAAGGCAGATCCAGGGGCTCAGTGAAGAAATTTAAATATACCCATTTTTATATTTATTTATATAGGGTTTGGTCATGGATTTTTTTTTTAATTTTGCAAGCTATCCTTTGAAAAAACCCTTCCGACTACTATTAACACTTTTGACATGAGTCTGTAAAATTGATTCAGTTTGCCAAAGCCGCCAGTCTTAATTAATGACTTACTATAACCGCCTGTTTTATTAGATCTATATTTCTAGTATATTGGCACATATATTAATGACTTACCCGTGAATAAACTGACAGTTTTAAAATGATATGAGATAACTTGTTTTCTTATGGAGAATTCACTTTTGCCTTGAACTTATAGTAAAATGATTATTAGTTCAGTAAATTATGACTCCAATGTTCTGATGATCACCTTAGCAATAGAAAGACTGTCTGGTTTTCATTTCTCGATGAAATTCTACTTTAGATGAGTCTCTGGTTAATCTCATGCTCTAGCAAATAGAACTGCTAGCTTCAGGGGCACCTGGGTGGCTCAGTCATTAAGCGTGTGCCTTCGGCTCAGGTCATGATCCCAGGGTCCTGGGATCGAGTCCCACATCGGGCTCCCTGCTCGGTGGGAAGCCTGCTTCTCCCTCTCCCACTCTCCCTGCTTGTGTTCCTGCTCTTGCTATCTCTCTCTCTCTGTCAAATAAATAAATAAAATCTTAAAAAAAAAATTACCTTTAGAACTGCTAGCTTCAGAGTCATAAACTTTTCAAGCAGAAAAACATTCACTGAGGATCTGCTAGTTTCCTGTATTAGTAATATCCAAAGCTGGTTTAACAATACAGTATGTTCTGATATCTTATAGGATATGTTTATATATATACATATATATATGCAAAAATAATTGGAATTTTCTTTAACTTTTAATAAAATGCATAAAGAACATTTTAGACTGAGATAGAGTATCAGTAAAATAAACAATGTGAATCTCACAACAACAACAACAACAAAAAGGAGCTGGATATCTACTGTCTAATTTGAAACAATTTGCATTATTCGCACAAAAGAAGACACCAGATATGCCAGGTTTTGTATTTGTGTATTTCACAGACAAAGTCTGGTTGCGAAGTGGTAGTAGAAGCAAAAAGTACTGAGTTGCTGCTGAATTACAATATGTTCCAGCCCTTTCTTCCCCAATGTACTGCCTTTTTCAAAGGTGAACTTTGAAATTAATGTCACAGCATAGATGACAATGAGAATAATATACAGAGCTGAGATTTTTCATTTGAAATTAACCCAGACAATGTAAACCAGACCTACAGTAAATTAGTCAAATTCACAGAGGTTACATTGTATTTGAGGGTTATTCCCAAAGGCCTAGCCCAATTCAAGACTGATTTTCTCTAGAGCTGACAAAGGATAGCTGTTGTTTCCTCACTGGAGTGGCGCCACCGTGTGGCAATAGCATAAACACAGTTTTACAAGTCACTCAACCAGGAGGCTTCAAAAATAAGAGATATTTGACCCTTTTTAAAATTTATTTTATTTTATTATTTTTATTATTATTTTTGAGGAATATTGCATGACTTAAAACTTTCTGCATAAGGAGAGAGTCAACTTATATTTTCATATTATGTGATTTCAAATTAGCATATTTCGAATTCACATAAAATGTGGACATGTTGTGTTCTTATATAGTCATATGCAGAGTGATGGAGAGAATGCACTATGGAGCTAATTAGCCTGGACTGAACTCCCGCTCTGCTACTTACTCTCTGCATACCTTGGACAAATTATTCAGCCCTTCCAAATCTCAGTTTTCTCAGCTGTAAAATGGGAACAGTATTAGTACCTATCCTAGTGGATTGTTATGAGTATTAAGTTACCTTAAAACACTTAGAAGTGTTTTAAGCCTGGCCTGGCAGGCAAAGTCATGGCAAGGACTAAGTCATCTAGAAGTTTTTGTTATTGCTTTTCTATTAGGATCATTAAGCTTGAAGAGACTTTGATAAGTTGTCCGATTCACCTTTCTAAATCCATTCAGGATGCAGTCTAAACCACCTCATGGGAGATCAACATCTGTGACCAAGCTAAGAGAATAGACCACAGCCATTTTTTGCAGTTTAAAAATTAGTATCAGGGCACCTGGGGGGCTCAATTGGTTGGGCGACTGCCTTCGGCTCAGGTCATGATCCTGGAGTCCCGGGATCGGGTCCCGCGTTGGGCTCCCTGCTCGGCAGGGAGTCTGCTTCTCCCTCTGACCCTCCCCCCTCTCATGTGCTCTCTCTCTCTCTCTCTCTCATTCTCTCTCTCAAATAAATAAATAAAATCTTTAAAAAAATAATATTAAAAAAAAGTTTTAAAAATTAGTATCATACCGTGAGCTGATTGTTTTAAAACAAATCAAAATAACGTCAATGTCTTTGTGTCAGATTACATCATTTAAATGCACAATTATAAATGAGCTTCAACATTTAAATGACTGAGTTTCAACATTTTAACGAAATTTATTCTTCTATACAAAAGCTTCTCAAACTTTAATGTACGTGCCAGTTACCCGAAACTCTTATCGAAATGCAGATTCTGGTTTAGTAGATCCGAGTGGTTTCTGAGATTTTTGCATTTTTTACAAGCTCTCAAACGATGCTGATGCTGTTGGCCTTCAGAGCACACTTTGAGTAACGATGCTCTAAATCACTGAAATTCATCTCCATGTCCACTTTGTCATTATCTTCCCTTGTCACTCAGAAAAACATGGTAATTTAATAAGTCAGAGAAAGCCATAGGAACCAAGATAATATCTTGTGTAGTCTTCACTTTCTCTGGACAACTTAACTTTCATCTTTTGTGGTGGCAAATATACGGAAAGGGTAAGTGCCTAAAAGAACTGGGGTAAGTGTGTAAGGACCGAGTTTTATCACAGTTGTTGATTTCTACCAGGCCAGAATTACCAGAGAATTGGAAATGGTATAGCTCACATTTATTTAGAACTGCCTCCTATGTGAAAAGCAGAAGGGACACTACAGAGCCCACTGAAGGCTGAAGCAGGGACACCATCATCCTGGGGACTATACAGGTGTGAGAATCATTAGACATATATGATCAGCCTTTCTGACCTACCCAAAAGGAAGATAAGGGGTTTATTATTTGTGAAGCAATGCCAAAAATATTGTAACTTTAAAAAGTCTTTGGAAATTTGCATAAGCGTATCGAAAATATATTAGTTATGACCCAGGCAAACCAGATACATTCTTATTGTCAAAATCAGAGATTAGAAAAGGACAGTTCAGGGGCGCCTGGTTGGCTCAGCCGGTTAAGCATCTGAGATCATGCTCTCAGGGCTGTAAGATTGAGCACTGCTTTGGGCTCCACGCTGGGCATGGAGCCTGCTTGGGATTCTCTCTCTCTCCCTTTACCCCTCCTTTCTCTCTCTCTAGCCATCTCTAAAAATAGGAAAAGAAAAGAAAATTACAGTTCAAAAACCAGGGGATCATGAAAAAGACCTGAGAAATTGAGAGCTTCATGGGGAACTTTCATAAGCTTCTGACAGCATCAACTCACACCAAATGAACTTTAAATAATTTCCAGAAGCTCAAAAACTAAGAGTATCTGTGTGCTTATTTTTTTTTACAGATGCAACATTTATATTCAGTGAAAATCACATCTTAGCAAAAGAAAACATTATAAATATATGTACATGGAAAAAGACTAAAAAGATGTACCATAAAATGCTGAAAATAATTAACTGATGGGTGATTTTTATTTTCTTTTTGTTTACCTGTACTTTGTACATATCCATAATCAGTGCATATTATTTTTGTAAAATGGGAAAAAAAACAAAATTTACTGTAAAAAAGAAAATCATCTCCTGAATGTGAATTTTTTTTTATTTTTATTTTTTAGGCGCAAAAGAGGGGAGAGGGGCAGAGAGAATCTTTTTTTTTTTTTTCTTTTATGTAGTTAACATAGAGTGCAGTATTGGTTTCCGGAGTAGAATTCAGTGATTCATCCCTTACATACATACACCCAGGGCTCATCCCAACAAGTGCCCTCCTCAATACCCATCCCCCATCTAGCCCATCCCCACCCGCCTCCCTCTATCAACCTCA